TAAACAAAAAATTAGTTTATGGATAATTATATTTTATTTTATGTTTTGTCTTTAAATATTAAATGGCTGTGAATGTCTTGGCCTGTGAATAGTATAGTTTAAGATATATTTGTAAGCCTATTTTTTTAATAGTATGTTTAATGTTTATTATCATGGCTTAAATTTTAAGTTAGAAGTAATACCTGTAGGTCGGTTTATTTCCTAATATTCAGATAAAAAGTATCTTAGTTTAGAACAGACTTGGGCAGTATTTCAAAATACAAAATAATATACATTTTTGCATTTTACATTTTAAGAAGTAAAACATAAAATAGACTGCAACTATATTTTCTTTTTAAAATATAAAAAAGTTTTTTTTTTATTATTTTAATGGAATTTACAACTGTATTACATAGAAAATACAATAAGTAAATGTGAAATTGGTAATATGACATGTACAACATGAAGAGAAACTACCCATTGGTAGAACTCAAATTAAAGTTCTATATTAGAAGATCCCGAGGCCATCTTCTTTTCAGACGCATCGGAGGGTTATGAGGGATCGAGGAGGAGGCAAGGTTTGAAACGAGAGGATTCGGATGGTTCTGCAGTTTGTTATGGAAGGGCAGGTATCTGGATTGGACCAAATCGGAAACATATGGAATATTAAGGTCTTTATGGATGATTTTATTTGTGACAAAGTAAGGAGCGTTGAGGATTTTACGAAGGATTTTGGATTGTAAGGATTGGATACGAGAGGAATTCGATGGTTTAGTGGAGCCCCAAAGCTCAATTCCGTAAGTCTAAATAGGTCTTATTATTGTCATATATACGAGTCGTTTATAATTGATTGAAAGCTTAGATCGTTTGTCTAGTAAGTGCTGCAGTAGTCGAAAACGTCGGGCGGTTGTTTCAGCCTGGTATGGGGGTTCCAAGTGAGTCGTTTGTCAAGGTGGTGTCATAAGTATCGGATTTGTTCGACAGGGATAAGAGGGCTATTGTTGAAGGATACTGTAGGACAGGAAGTCATAGGTTTACGACGAATATAAAAAAGTATTTGTATTTTATTTCCAAGGCACTAAAATATAAAAATGTCTTTTATTTTGTATTTTAAGTACATAAAATAAAGTACCAAACAGGATACATTCCCTCTATTATATGCTGATCATCAACCAGAAAGTAATTTTTTTTTTTTTGTAATTAAAATACAAAATATTTATAAGGTTTGTGTCAAAATGTCAGCTAATTCGTTAAAGAAAATTTTGACTGCAAATCCTGACAGTTTTTTCAACATTATACCTTCAACAATCGACTACTTATCCATCTCAAGATACTTTTAGTTTTGAAGTACATTTTATAAAAACAATTTAAATAATTTCTAATTACAATGCATTGCATTTTAAATACTGTATTTTAAAATACATTTTACCCAGGCCTAGTTTAAAATATTTTGAACTAATTTTAATGATCAGATGTTAATTTTTTAGTTACAATAAAATGATATAAGAAATAATTAAAATTTAGTACTGCAAAGTATGAGGATATCTGTAACTATGTTGAGTTTTGTATTTAAATGCTTATTAAAATTGTTGATAATTATGATTTAACTTTCGCTTAAGTATCGTGTATCTGAAGTAGTTTAAAGTTATATTATCTTCATTCATGCATAGTTTTTATGTTCAAAAAGTGCTACTTAAAAAACATGTAAAAATGATATTGTACATAATAAAGTTCAGAAAATTATTGTTGTTTGGAAGATGTTTATTCAAAAAATTTCAATGTTTTACGAATCTTCTTCAATAAATTAATTAATAAGAAAATAGTTCTATATTGTTAATTTTAACATTTCCTTTCTCACGTATATCCTTATATAAGCAAATAAGTTCTATCTTCATGATGAATCTAATGTAATATTTTCTTGTGCTGTTTAGAAACTTTAAAGGCAAAATAAATCAAGGTTTGCCAACCTTCCTCTATCTCAGAGTTGGTTAGTACCAGAGATAGGCATAATCATAATCAACGATTATAAATGTAATCAGGTAATCGAGTCACATTTTTATTATATTTGTAGTGCTATTGAATCAAGTATAAAATCAGCGTAGTCATTAAGTTTTATTTTGAGTTGTAATCATGTAATCATTGGTTCTTATTTTGCCCATCTATAATCTGTACAGGTGGAAAAGCTCTCATAAATGATCGAATTGCAACTACACCCAAGGTCTTATATTTTAAAATATTATAAAGCAACAACAGTCAATGGTATTTAAATAAAACAACGTAGCATCAACTTCGCGAGAGTGGATGATTGAGAAAGAAAATTCAAAATTATAAATATTACATAACTTTTAAGAAATGCCTGGATGTACGTAAATTGTTATATATATAAAAAAAAAAAGATAGAATCACAATTTTTTTATCACTAATGGTGATAACAATAAAAAAAAAGTGGGGATGAGCTCAAATAAAATAAAATTATATAACATGTTTTTTAGGCAACATACTTCTTTTTTTAATCCTTTACAAAGTTAATCAGTACAAACATCAATTTAAAAAAATTGACAGTTATTATTTAAATTTCTAAAATGTTGTCATTAAACATTGATGTTTCTAGAGGGTAGAGTTGTCAGGTCATTCATACATTTTCTTTCTAAATTAATCAAAATATGCAAACTTTAATAATCCTAAATGTTTAATTCCTAATTATCTAAATTATAAAGATTTATTTAATTTTATTAAAAGATTTTATATTAATTTAATTCATGTATATAATATTATTTAGATTAGTTACACTATTTGAAAGATCCGATGAAATTAATGAATACAAACAAACTAAATTAAACATAGACGTTTAATAGTAAAAAAAAAAAAGGGATTCATAATTGTAAGTACAAAATTTTTGCCATTCAAGAGGCCAATAGACCCAATCTAGGAATACACTAAAGGGATATTAAAAATACAAATACAAAAATGGACAAGGTGTTTTATACTTACGGAGTAAAGATTTGATCATTGATTTCTAAAACATTCATTGATAAAATTAAAATATTTCTATAAAACTCAAACAATTTTTTCATCTTAAAGAAAAAACTTGAATACTCTAATAAATACCCAAAGGGTAAAAAAAAAAAAAATCTAGGAGAAAAACCCAATTTTGCAACCCTTGTGTATGGTCCTGTTGATTGAATCACAATATATTCATTTATAGATTTGTAGTATCTTTTGACTATATGAACAACTATTCAAATATTGAGGAAGCATTGGGAAGAAAGATAATCATTAAAGGTGAGGTATTTTATTTATTTAATATCATCTCATTGTTTAAAATCCAGTAGCTGGAGGGTTTTATAACTTTGTCATAGTTCCCTGTTCTCTCCCCTGGCATAGAAAAAAAAAAGTGTAAATCCTAAAAGGCAATATTTTCTGGCTACCTTCCTATACCGAGCCATTACAACACGTCGACCTGCCTATATTCTACAGATCCTACAATTCAAACGCTCCTTTCAATCCTGTCCCACCAGATCCTGTGTGTCCGACCTCTATCCTCCCCCTCACCGAACTGCTGTATTTGATAAATCCTTTTTAATACAAGTTGTCACCCTCTGGAACTCTATACTTTCAGATATTCGACACGCAAAATCGATATCCTCATTCAAATCTCTCCTCTTCGAACACCTACTCCATTCCCAATCCGATTGATCACGAAATGCACTTAAAAACCTAAGCTGTAAAAACCTCAAAGTACACCCAGATACTCTGATTATTTTGTAATTCATCGATATTTCGTTCACTTAATTACTTTCTCTGTTTATTTTATATTTACATGTATTTATATATTTTCATCATTTATAACTTTATTGTACTCCGAATCAACCTGTAAATATTAAATAGTATTTCATGGACACACCAAAATATTCTATATTTGTGACTTGTTCTAAAGGGACTCTAGTCCCAGAATAATAAAATTATTTTCATTTCATTTCATTTCAAAGTAGGGGAGGAAATTAGAGATGCCGTAAGAATCAATTTCCTTATTAAAAATTAGTTTCCTCAATTAACCAGTGAGGGAAATTTTTTGCAGCTTAAGGAATTCATAATTGTGTGGAAGACGGCTGTCAGTCCACAAAAGGAGAAGACGACAAGAACCAGGAAAAATGCAGATTCTGGAAGCCAGTCTTAAGTCTGCAATAACTTATGGGAAAAATTAAAGTAGCTAAGTATAAGTAGTCTGTTACTAAACATCCATGCTTAATATCACACTGCTGCATCCATATAGTACCATCTTGGCAATATACCACAAGGATGAAAGTAAATAAATAAATAAAAGAGGAAAGTCAGATAAATAATTAATAAATATTAGAATATTTTATGAGTATAAATAAATTAAAATAAAATGTTAATTGATATATTCAATTCATATTATAAAATCATTGAAATTATTATATTTGCCTTTGTAAGTAAATACTGTTGTATAAATTTACAAATAGAAAATAAACTGCTGGACAAGACGGTCTGGATTTCTTTTAATTTCCTTTATATTATTTGATATTTATTATACACCAAATAATAAAAAAAAAAATATCTGATCTTCAACTAAGTAATTTTTAATTGTTAAAAATAAAATAACTAAAAAACTCAGTTGAATAAAATAATAAAAATATAGTGAGGATAGAGAAATGGCTTACTTCACTATCAGTACATGCTATGTGTTTACTTCAACATGAAACATTCATTAGAAAATTAAGGACATTTCAATGAAAATGATAATGAACTGTTAAAGAATTTTTAGTCAAATTTATCAAAAACAACAACAACTTCAGAAGTATTTATAAATTAAAATATAATGAAGTGCTAATTAACAAATGTTTGGGCTCTTATATTAATGACATGATTGGTTTTAAGTGATTGATTGCATAAGGTAAAATCATTATGCAATAATTTTAGAAAAATAAAGTTGAATAAACAAAGGTAATTCAAATGAGTTATCTAATTAGTAACCTTCCTCACTTCTTCCCCTCCTCCCCCTCAAAGTTTATCCCTCCTATTCAATTCTAAACAAAACATTTTTAAATTAATAATTTGAAAAATGTACCCATAATTTAGAGCAGCATCTTTTTCTTCAAAGGACCAGCTTGGCTAGATGCAGAATTTTATAAAATAAAGAAATAAATAAACAAATTTTATTAATAAAAATTATATAAAGATTAACAAAATTTTTATAACACCCTCACTTTATCAACCTGTATAATAATCAATAAAAGTAGTGGGAGTATAGAAGTTATTTTTAGAGAATATATCCTGATTATCTCTTTTTCAAATATTGTGAATTTAACCTTGAAAATGTTTCTTATATACTAATCATTTAATCCTGAATTCAGTTTCTCTTGTTCATTCAACAGGGAACAATACCCAGAAGTTACTCTCCAGTCAGGCAAAATGGCAGCAGATAACCTAACTGCAATACTTTATAAAATAAATGACATTAGACTGGTAATTTCAAACTTTATTTGTAGTTAAAATAGTTTAAAACTCATATGTATATGTTAGAAGTTTCAATGCTTGAAATAAGTCGTATTTGATTATATTTATATTTATTATCAATATGTTATTTATCATAATAAAATAATAACATGCTATTGATATTACAGGAAAACAGGCCTATTCCAGAACCCAAAGATGATGGTAAGATATACTTTAATCTTTTAAATAAAGCTAATAATTTAAAAACAACTAAGTTGCTAACCAATACTCTTCATGTTTTGAATATGTTGTACAGAAAGCTGAGCATTTAATCCAATTAAATCTTATTTGAAACAATAATTAATGGTTAAAAATGTTGAGTCTAACAGAATTAATACTTGTTAAACATTAAATTAATCATTATGGTTATAAAATGGTAGATAATTGATAAGGAAAGACGATGATTTCGTGATTAGATTAATTAATATGTATTTGGAATTAATTAAAGCATTCAAGAATAAATTATAAATTTTCACACATTATTCTATAACTGAGCACTCTATTAAATACTATTATAATTAATAAAAAAAATTGTTTTTATGATTATACAACAGTTTATTTTGTATAATAAATAATAAAATGCTCACACTTAGTATTTTCAATCATTAGAACTAAAAAAAAAATCATCATTTTAATTAAGTTTACATTTTTTTTTATAATGATTTCATTATAAAAATTAAAAAAATGTTTTCAATTTGAATTAGGGAGATAACTTGAAAATTCTTCCGAAGATAACGAGTCCTAAATTTTGAAATGATTTAAGAACTATTTGAATACAATAAAGAAACATTCTAGAATATTCTCACATGAATTTTAATTTCAAATTCACAGTTCATATTAGCGATTAACTTACATACATTGAGCTCAATAATAATAAAAAATTCCCAATGTTTGTATACATGGAAAATTAAAGAAATAATTTTTTTTAAATATTGAATATATACAAAGCACTAGTTTGAACATTATTAACTTCTCTATTAGTGCAGATTCATTTTGATAACATTTCAAAAATCAAATCAACATAGGTATAAGGAATAAAACCAAAAACATTATTATTAATTGTAGTTATTTGGCAAAAAATACACTAACATTAAACATGACAGTAGAGAAAATAAAATCCATTTTTAAATTTTTATTACATACATACTATTTGTTGATTTAAATTAACAAAATCTTTAAGTCAAAAAGAAGATTAGAATGGAAAATTTGCTGAAATTATAAAAATAAACACAAGACATTAGTTTGTGTTAAGATTCTCCTTCTTATCACTAATCCGAAGTTATGAAATGACCTTGACATTAACAATCATTCCTTTAAACCACTTTCTTAACCTTGACCCTGCATTTAACGTCATGGAAATTTGTAATGAAAAATAAAATTTAAACATCAAATAGTATTATAAATTTTATAATAATGTAATAGTAAAAAAAAAATAATCAATGTTAAAATTCATCGCAATATCAAGAGATCTAAATTTTTCAGACTACAAAGTGGTTTTAAAATTTAAAAAATGTAATTCATAAAAATATTTAATGAAATAGATGCCTTTGTTTTAGAAAAAAAAATTAATCTGTATAAGCCAAGTGTATTAAATGAAAAATTTAGTATGAGATAAAAGTACTCACAGATTTATTATTTATTTTATTATTCTATATATTAAAAAATGTCCATACTTCCTATTATATGAATGCTAAAGTTTTTCAAAATATATTGTCTAGTACTTAAACATCTTGTTTACAATTAATTTATTAAATAGTATCATTAAAGTGGATTAGTTCACAAATTTTGGACATTTTGTGATATCTACATTTTATTGGGTTGACAAATAAGTCCTTTCGATTTTTTGTTTATTTTTATGTCACTATGATACTCTTCCTATCTGATGAATTAATCCCTTGGATTGTTTATTTTGTTTGTAATATGTCAACAAATATATCTGTTAACTCTTATCGAAACTAGCTTAGTATTGTGTTTGCTATTGCGCTGTGAATATGGAAGAAAATATCATTCGTTATTGGCATATTTTGTTGTATTATTTTAAAAAAAGATAAGCGTGCTGCAGAAGCTCATAGAAAAATTTTCAGTGTTTATGGGGATAATGCCTTAACCGAATACACCTGTTAAAATAGGTTTGTCAAATTTCATTCAGGAAATGTTGACATCAATGATGCTCAACGGTCTGGTCGCCCACATGAAATTGAAACGAACAATGTTAAGACCATTGTTGATCAAAATCTCACTCAATCAGTGCGAAAGATTGTTATAGCCCTAAATGTGTCGCACACAAGCGTAGAAACCCATTTGTACAAGCTCGGCTATGTTTCCAGGCTTGATGTTTGGGTCCCTCATTCTCTAACAGAAGTCAACTTGGCAACACCCATTTCTGTTTGTAATACATTACGGAAACGACAACAAAACAACTCATTTTTGAAAAGGTTGGTAACAGGAGATGAAAAATATATATTTTACGATAATGTAGTCCACAGAAAATCATGGGGACCTAGTAGTGAGGCTCCTAGAAGAATGTCAAAACCCATATTGCATCCAAAGAAGATAATGCTTTCCATATGGTGGGATTTCAAGGGTGTTATTTTCTATGAGCTATTGCCATCAGGACAAACAACTCTATACTGCACACAATTAACAAAATTGGATCATTCAATTCAAAATAAATGTCCAGAACTGGCAAATCGAAGGTTGTTGTGTTCCACCAAGATAACGCTAGGCCCCACTCCTCATTGGTGCTACTAGCTATAAATTATTGAGCCTTGGATGGAACCTTTTGCCCCACCCTCCCTATTCACCAGACCAAGCTCCAAGTGACTACCACTTATTCCGGTCTCTGCAGAACTCCATGAATGGAAAGAAATTTCAAAAGGAAGTCTCATCACTTTCTAAAACTCATTAATGAAAATAAGAGCAATTTAAAGCTGTTTCCATCAAAGAAAAAACCAACAAAAGCATAATATATTAAAAAAGAAAGTTTTATTTTAATATTTTTTCAGAATGAACTGTTTCTTCTTTAAAACTTAATGATGAAAATTAAATTTTCATGTGGGGCGTTAAAAATTTTTAGTTCTCAAAATAAAAAATTTACACTCGGTTTTATGTTTCAGACATCAAGTATCAAATTTGGTTTGGTGTCTGTCTATCTGTCAGTAGTCAATATTATAAGCATATCACCTACTATTGTTTATCCAATTTTCACGAAATTTTCAGGGATTGTGCGGGTTGGTACCTAAATGGTCTCATATTAATTTCATTAAATTCCATGTAATACTGCCACTTGCGCATGTACAAATTTATTTTCTTAGATAAGTCAATATTTCAGAAACAGCTCGTTCGATTTGGCTCAAAATTGTAAGTAAGTTGGGTTTTGGTAAAATAATGATGCTGTATCGATTTTATTTAATTTTGTCCTCTATTTTCTTTCATATATACGAAAATTTATGTTCCTTGAAAGGCCTGTCAATATCTCATAAACCGCATGTTGTATTTGCCCCAAATATGAAGAGAAGTTAGTGATCAATTATTTATTTTTCATTTAAAATAAAAATTAGATTAAATTAAACCTTAAAATGAAATTAAAACTTTAATTAATTTAAAACTAGAAAAAAAAACTTTTTATTTTTATTTTATTTTAATGAAATTTACAACTGTATTACATAAAAAATACAATATTTAAATGTGACATTGCTAACATGACATGTACAACATGAAGAGAAACTAACCATTGTTACAACTCAAATTAAAGTTCTATATTAGAAGGTCCCGAGGCCATCTTCTTTTCAGACACCTCGGAGGGTTATCAGGAATAGAAGAGGAAGTTATCAGGTTTTATTAACTTTAAAAAAAATTAATTTCTACTAATTTTTACTAACAGAAGACTGGTAAGTAAAATTTGTATGATGTATCAGATTCTTTAAATACTCATAAAACAAACATATTAACAAAATTTAAATAATATTTAGCATATCGGGTATAGCTTGAAATAAATATCCAATAAACTAGAGATAACCTCTAGCTCTTTTATATTAAATTTTATCTCAGTATTATTTATCTTATAATAGCATGTATAAAAAAAAAAAAATGACCGTTTTTCAACAAAATATTTGTATTATTATTTCTTTGATATAAAATACAGTTAATACTCAAAGTATAGTCCATTGTTATCTACCTTCATTAGCCAACTGATAGACAATTGCTCAATCCCATGCTGATACCATTCTTTGGGATGCCGTCAAAGAATTCTTAGACCGCAATTTCAAGTTATGCAAAATTATCAATTTTTTTCCTTTGAAGAAAAATGGGCCGTGGATCTAAATAAGTAGTAATCTGATGATGCGAGGTCTGGACTATATGGTGGATGAGGCAGGAGTTTTTCAGGCAAGGATTTTTCAATAAATTTTCACAAATTTCTAACCTCTTAGCTGATTGCTGAGGAGTAAGTTTGTGAGAGACCAGTCTACCCATACTTTTCTCATGGAGAGTAGATGGCGACTAACAGTATCTTTCAATACACCACACTCCCCGGCAAGTTTGGAAGTACTTGTGGACGGATTTGACTCAACAGCTTCCTGCAGAACCTCATCAATATCTATTAATGGTCTTCCGGAGCTCTTCTTCCTTTCCAACTTTGTATTTCCGCTGCTAAATTTTTTAAACCAACGCCGTGCAGTGCAATGGTCAAGTACACCTTCCCCTTCATATTTGATAATTTCAGGATTGTTACTTCAGCGGCTGTGAATTTTTTTTTCCAATAATGCTTTAAAATTACTAGAATTTCGTAGGACACATGATTTTTCTTTAAAACAAATAACTAAACTGAGACTTTTTTTGAAAAAGTTTAATGGATTAAACAAGTTTAGAGAATACTCTAAAGAGAGTATTAAGTATTAAATAGGATTAAAATATTTACAGTCTTTTGAAATCTTGAATTTGATAAAACGGTAATTTTTTTTATTTTAATATAATTTATCTTCATAATAACTGTTTAGCTATATTATTTTGAAGATATGAAAAATATTATTGTTAATAAAATTAATGTATGGTCTATTTTTATTTCTTTTAGAGGTACTTATAAAAATGGGGTCGGTAGGAATCTGTGGATCAGATGTTCATTATCTACAGAATGGAAGAATCGCCGATTTCATTGTAAAAGAGCCTATGATTATGGGTCATGAAGCGAGCGGCACAGTTGTTAAACTTGGTTCTAAAGTGAAGAATTTGAAAGTGGGTAAGAACATAACATTAACTTATTAATTATAATACTTATTATATTAATATAAAATGTGAGTTTATTATATCTGAATATTATTAATGGAAGTGGGAAAGCTCAATGAGTAAAGAACTTTGCTCATATGCACCGGTTCTCAGATACAAGTCCACCTTTAGCAAGTTATTATTTATTTTGTTACATTAATTGCTGTTTGATGCTGGGGTTGGAAGAACCTCCTAGAGCAAACCCAGAATCTTTTAAGTGGTGTACTCTTGATTAAATAATAAATTAAGGAGTGAAAAACCTGGTTATTGAGCATGATCTTGGCCAAATCATCATTGACCAAAAAAAAGTTCTTCCTTACAAAGTACTGTGCCTAAACCCGTCATGGATTGTAGAGGTACAGGTTTTTTTTCCTGTAGTGTATCATACATAAATAAATTAATTTAAAAACTATCAAGGCATATTTTTAAACTAATTTTTTTCTACTCACTTTAATGTTTGAATTCTAATAAGATAAAAATAATGAAGGCATGTAGAAGTAGATAAAAACAGATTTTTTTTTTCTAATAGTTATACAGAAGTATAATCAAATAAAATATGCATCATTTTTAGATGGATGTTAGATGTGGAAATGGACATCTGTCCGAAACATCACAAATGGAAAAATAAAGATATGTGAATTATGAAAATGTAATATTAAAAACTTCCTCTAGAATAGCGGATGCTTCAGCAAGGGTCTGTGAACCTTTAATAGTCATTATTTGGGTTCTGTGATATAATTTTGAAATTAACTTTACATCCTCTAACTTTTACTTTTTATTCAAACAACTCATTTAATAAGAATATAGTTGATTAAAACTATGGCATGAAGCGGAAAAAAACTTTTATTTTTAAAAAGTCGATAGTTTTTCGGCTCTTTTGGAACTAAAACTTTTTCCCTTGTAACTTTTGATAAAAATTATAAAAGTTTTACAGAAAGTCCTGTCGATTTCGCAAAAAAGTTTATTTAAAAATGACTTATTCTTAGCTACTCAAACAAACTACACATTAGAATAATTTATAATTTATTTAAGACAAATTATAACTCTAATATAATCCCAATTACTGTTTATTTTATTCATTTAATGAAACTTTTTTTAAGAACTTGAATAAATACAAGCTATAAACTTTTAACATAAATCTAGAACTTTATTAGATATTTTAAGAAACTTTTCTCCTAAAAGGTTTCTCAGAAACTGTTAAAATGGATTTTTTTAAAAATTTCTAAAAAATGTTTAATCCATGGTTAAAACTTTTGTTATTTAACTATTTATCAACATAATGACATAAAATGCCAAGAGTTGGAATGGGATCCATGGGAAAAACTCTTGTTCAAGAGGGGCTCTACGGATTATTTAGGTTTAACAGCCATTGCTCTGGAGTATGAAATTTGAAATACATATTTTAAAGCTTAAATTTAAAGAGAATACAACAAAACAAAAATAATAATTAATATCAACATATAAATTTAATAATTTTTAATTCATGTTTATTTCCTGAAATTAGGAGACCGTGTCGCCATTGAGCCTGGTGTACCATGTCGATTATGTTCGTTCTGTAAGGAAGGAAGGTATAACCTTTGTCCTGATGTGGTATTCTGTGCGACTCCACCTGACCATGGCAATTTATCGAGATACTATACACATGCAGCGGATTTCTGCTTCAAGTAAGTGACAAGAAATACCAAATACCAAATAACAAATTATGTAAAGAATTAGTCATTAAAATAATTTCTTAATCTATGCTAAATACTTTTTAGGCTGCCAGATCATGTTAGCTTGGATGAAGGAGCTCTTTTAGAACCTCTATCAGTTGGCGTTCATGCTTGTTCAAGAGCAGGAGTAACTTTGGGTTCTACCGTTCTGGTTTTGGGTGCTGGGCCCATCGGTCTTGTCACTACACTTGTCGCTAAATACATGGGTGCCAAATCATTGATTTGCTTAGGTAATTTAAAAAAAAAAAAAATTTAAGTTTTTAATGAAATAATAATGGCATGGAGATGATTGACTGTAATTATAAATACTTTTAGGCACAGAACGCTATAGGTCCCAGCTATACCCTCTGTCGGTATCGCTGCTGATTACCACACTCTGTGTAACTGCTATAATCTAATAAATAGTAATACAACTATATCACCATATTGTTGCCGACAGGAATATCATATCGTCGGAATATATCATCAACTTCTTCTCAAAGCAGCCTTCATTTGAGAAGAATTTGGTTGGAGGTGCAGCCAATATATATATCTATGTATTGCAATAGTATTTTATTGCGTTTATCAACATTTCAACCTACATTTTAAGTCTTTATCAGCTCATTTTGTCTGAGGGCAGGGTGGCCGAGCGGGCTAATGCATTTGCTCAGCACAGAAGTTTGGGATAGAAAAATAATTACGAGTTCTAATTCCCTCGGCCCAGGAAAAAACCTAACCTAAAAGGCAAGGAAGGGGAGACAAAAAAAAAAAATCTCATTTTATTAGGCACTGACAGAAGAAGAAGGAGACTGATGAAACGTTATAAAATACTTATAATATTTAGTATTATATATTGACTGCATCCCTGATTAACTTCTTAAAATAATAAATTTATTGCAATATTTAGTTACCAAGGGGGTGGAATTGCTCAATGAGTTAGGCATTGGGCTACAAAGGTTCTGGGTTCGAATCCAGCTGATATCTGGTAGTTTTTCATCAGCTGTGGATCGACCCTGGGGTTGGGAGACCCTCCTGGTACACACCAAACCTCTATGATGTTGGTATTCTTAATTAAATAATTAATTAGGATAGGAAATATAGCGGTTGAGCGTGATCCAGGCCTGATCACCTCCCTGCACAACCGTTGGCCTTGAAACAGTACTTCCTGACAAAGTACTAACTCAAAACCTTTTATTATTGTAGTAGTACAGGTTTTGTTTTATTTATTTTGTTAGTTACCAAAGAAAATGAGTAAATATTATATTATAGATGATAGTGTGAAATAGAAAACTCACTACATCCAATTTTTTTAAAATTGAGATAGATGGGCATTTTTGATCTTCAAACCTAAGTCTATTAGATAAAAAGATAACTGTTCAAAATTTTCAAATAAATGAATAAATCACTGTTGGCATGTTTTAGTGGTTTCATATGTTTAGATCTAAACCACAACTTCTTTAATCAAGTCAACTTTTTATGAAAACGGTAACTTGATTAGGCTAAGAATTATATTCTATAATTAATTTAGAATAAATATTTAGAGATTCATGGAATTGAATCAGCGTTTTATTGACTTATATTCCAAATTTGAAATTTCATATATTTAATACACTAACCATCAAATCACAGAAAATTTTGATAGGTTTTTATTAAACCCAAAATATAAAAAAATTGAGGAAGTGATGATCCAAAAGTTCTTAAGAAAAAATACGTAAATAATTGGTAAATATTTATTTGATTTTGATTTTTCCTGATAAACTGCCGTACTATGTCCTTCAATTATCATATGGTCAACTATCTACACATACAATAAGAATCTAAATTTATCTTAACTGATTAAGACAAAATATATGATCAGTTGTAAAAATGGCTACTATGTCGGTGACATAGATGAGGGAACACTTTTGAACATATTGAGAAATTTTAGTATTTAGAGTCCTCAATAACTAGAAAAAAAAAAAACGAAATTGAGGATAAGTTAAAGATGAGAAATGGCTTATTATTTTTCTGTTGCAAAACTTGTGCTTCCCGTTAACTTAAAAATTTAAATTTAAAAAAATTATAATCCTTCCTACTATATATGGATGTAAAACATGGTTGATTATAATAAGGGACGAGCAATATCTTAAGGTTTTTTAAAATAAAGTATTGCATAGAATATTCGGACCAAAGATGGATGGATAAACCTAAGAATTTAGGCAGTTAACTATACTTAGTAAATACAATTGAGGTGATTGCATTGCAGCAAATAAAATGGGCATGTAAAATTGTTAGATTTAGTTAAGAGAGAATCCATAAAAGGTTAATATGCACTGTGCTGACTGGAAAGTGCCCAAGGATATACTCAAGCGAAGGATTGCGTTAAGGCTAATATGGCAAGGTTGGGTTTCTATGAAGTATGTAGACTGTCATGGATGATTTTGAAATTGAACCTTTGGGTTCACTGAATCTTTATTATACTATATTATAATTAATCTTAAGACATTAACTATGGATAGCCCACATTCTGCAAATATTTTTTAAACTTTGTAATGCATACGTATATGTATATGTACATTTATAGTTCAATAATTTTTTTTGTTTTTCATGTTCAGACATAATCGAAAGTAGACTTCAAATAGCCAAAAACTGCGGTGCAGATTACACCTTACAGATTACACCTAAAGATGATATCAACGTTGTTTCTAAAAAAATTGAAGAAACATTAGGAGAAAAACCTGGTATAACAATCGATTGTACTGGTTATGAAAACACTGTTAACATAGGCCTTAAGGTAAAAGATAAATTATTAATAAACAAAAACAATTAATTTAATTAATAAAATAACCTGATTTGTAATTTTTTTTAAATAGGCAACCAAAAATGGAGGTACTTTCGTACTAGTGGGGATGGGACAAGATGAAGTTAAAATACCTCTTGTTAATGCCTGTGCAAGGGAGATAGATATTCGAGGAGTTTTCAGATATTGTAATGAGTGAGTATCGAAAACTTTGGCATGTTTTACAAATGAACGAATAAATAAGAATATGAAAAATACTAGTATTGTTATCAATAAATTCTGTACTTACAACTAATGCTAATCACAATTAATCTTGATGATTTCAGTTATCCAAGAGCGTTGGCAATAGTGGCTTCGGGCAAGGTGGATGTAAAACAACTCATAACTCATCGTTTTTCTCTGGAAAAGACTATTGAAGCATTTGAAACGGCGCAGAAAGGAATCGGCAACCCTGTAAAAATTATTATTGAATGTAACTGAATGAAATAAATCAGTTCAAAAGTTTTAATAATATTTATATCATTGATTTACCAAGTATTTTCAAAGTAAAAAAAAAGCTTAAAAATAATTTTAAACATAATAAATAAAATTAATATTTCTTTATTTATTTATTGCAATATAAGCCAACTAAGGACCACATGTTTCTTGGCTTTCCTTTCTCATCTTCTCTCCATCTCCTTTCTTTGCTCCTTTGTCCACCTCCTTAATTCCTTCTTTTTTCCCTCCACCACAAGAACAGAACCTTCTTTCTATCTATTATATTTCTAAATTACTCTATGTCCTCTTCACTGATTTCTTGTCCCTTTATTCCTTTTTCAATCTGTTCAGGTTGCCCTTTGATGTTTTTAAGTTTTATCAATTTGGAAAAGATCCGCTTGTTCAATCCATCATTTCCCATCCTCTTCATAATAGCGTTCCAAAGAATTTCAATATTTAAAAAAAAATGAATATTAATAGAAATAAGACTTAAAGGATTAGCAATAATACCTTTATAATAAACATTAACAGAGAGGTGCAGTCTGAAATGCATAGTTAAAGATAATGGATGACATTGGTCATAATTAATATAAATATTTTTTAGTTTTCAATAACTTTAAATCAAATAATATAACAATACTTAAACAAGCAGTTCTATTAGCATTGACCAATAATAATAACAGAAAAGATAATAACAAGAATAATAATAACAAGACAATTTTAACTAATAATTGAAAAATATTTTAATAGCAAGAAAAGGTAAAAATATAATAGTATATATGAGCCATTTCTCATTCTTACATTGATTGTAGCAGTAGTTTGAAATAATAAATATACTTAAGGTTGATGAAAGTTTTATAACTATTTTAGATGAATGAAGCCATGAAGATGAAGTATAGTTCGTAACGTCGACCAATTAGGTTGAGGAAATAAAAAATAAAATAAGTTAATTTTTAGACAGTAAATTATTTTTAAAAATTATAATTTTTAAAAGCATTTTATAACTATTTGGATCATTGAGGAAAGAAGTGAAAACAATATATTATGTTGATAGCAGTAAAATAAAAAATTTAAACATATTTTTATTATTAATCGATTAATAAAACTAGTTAAAAGTCATTTGTAACAAATAGTACTTGGTTTATACAAATAATGTGTAAAATGTATTGTTCAATCACCAAATAACAATATAATATAATAAGTAAATGTAATAATTTTTATAATGGATTAATAAATCCATTTGATCTTCAAAACCTGACTCTCTCTCTCTCTCTTTTTAAGATAGATGTAGAGGAATAGGTAAAATATGAAAATGAAACGTGAGAATCACTCACCAAAAATTTTTAAAAAATTTAGTTTAATAGCAATTTAAGGCATGTTTTATAGATAGATATGACAGACAAAGAAGCGTTGAAGAATTTTTAAGTAAGAACAAAAAGAAAATCATCCATGATGATGGGTCAGAAGCCAGAAATGTCTTCAATGGAGCAAAACTAATTAATAAATTACTTAAAATTGCGAGAGGTTTTATTATTTAAAGACTTTATTTTTTGTTTCATTTAATTTTTTTTTGTTATTATTTTTTCCTTAAGGATTACTACAATTATATATTAACTATGATAGTTACTAATGCATTAGTAAAAAAATTAATTTTTTAATAATACATAAGTAAGCTAATAATTCACAATAGAAAATTGAAACGTACATTGCTTTATAATTACTAAATGATTAATATTATTAGTGATTGTCAGATATGATACTTGAAATATTTTTCAAGTTCTTAAAGCAATTTAAAATAATCAAATACGGATTCAACAATAATTTCTTTATTATAAATTATAAACTAAATAAACCACTCTAAAAATTTATAACAGCCCATATCTGGAGCTTGTGATAAACTATGAAAATATTGTTAGTAATATATTTCACTTTTTAATTAATTCTCTAATTAAATTCAGCTACTCATTTTTGGGGCTCTTTCAAACCATTTATTTACCTCAAACAAAGCCCACCTACTTAAAAATTAATCTACTAAACAAATTTTTAAACCAACCATGTTCCTTGAGCAGAGGAAGCCATTTTCTTACCTACTTCTAATTGTACTTTTGGCTCCCCAACTTAAATGATTATTACATTACCATCATCTATTGAACAAAAAGTTTAAAAACCTCTTGAAAATAGTCTCAGATAGTAAATCACAGGGTTCTTATTTATAATTATCAAAGAAAATAATTTCTGTAAAACTAAAATATATATATTGTAATATTTTTTTGGATAAATACTTTGTACTGCAAATAGATTATACAAACCTTTATTAATTAAGAAATTAAATGTATTGCTTGTTGGTAATAAAACAATTCTTATATTCTTAATAAGCAAAATGATCTTTAGTTTTTGTAACCAGAAATTGTAAATGATCTTATAGTTAAAACTAAAACTTTAACGAATACCGTTGAAATTTTACTTTCACTTTTTAAAATGGTTTAAACTTTTAGGTACCAACATAAAACCTGGCGATGTTTTAATTTATCAAAATAATAATAATAATATAATAAATGACATTAACGAATAAATATCATGTTTTATTATACATTAATTGTGAAAGTTTTATCAATTTATTCGAAAAATGTAAAAATATCGAGAATTCATGAGCTTTTGTCCTTTGACCTTTCCCAATCGCCGGCCATGACAGTGAACGTAAATAGTCGGGTTTTATCTGGATGACATTGTTTTCTTTCCTTCATCTGTTGATTTCGCCGATCATTCAGACTCCTGAAACCCGGCTATCTACGATCTAAATCATTTTTAGTTCATTTGTTTTCTGTATGGTATCGTAGTTACAATTTATTTTCAAAGCTGTCATGTTATTTTAAAAACAATCAAGATGGATTTTAGATTGCTTTGAGTACAATTATATTCTTTTGGTAATTCTCTTGTCAAATCAGTATGTTCCCATTATTTAAAAAAAATGTCATTAGTAAGTTTATGTTATCTAAATTTTCTGGCTTATTCCCAAGGAACATAACAACAATGTCATCTTCGGGTGAATTGTGTTTTCCCAAAACCCTGGAAGAATTTGGATACCGCTTCAATGATTGTGGAAAGCTGAGGAAAATTGATCAAAAAACAGGTGAATCGACTGATGCACCCTTTGAATTCAATATTTCTTCAGATCCGAGCTATAACCAGAAGCATTATGAAGCCCTCGGAGAGGTATTTTTTACCTAAAATATATGTTTTCAAGTATTGTGTAATGTGGTGTAATCTGTAGTGTATTACTTGTTATCTATGTGTTTTTGTTACAATTATTTTAGATAATTACTGAAGAAGTTTACACTATGTTGAGGGATTTGGGCCTCAAACAGCTTCCGGTACCTCCAGGGAACGACAACAGTTCATTTATTTTTGCTTCTGAAGATGCACATTTAGTACCCAAACTGGCTGTATTGATCCATGGCACTGGGGTGGTGAGGGCTGGACAGTGGGCCAGGAGGTAAATGATTTTACTTTTATTTATGTCAAATAATTTATCGATTCAATCTTTATTTCATTTAATAATGATACATTAATTAGTTTGAAGTTATGTGTTTTTTAAAATTATATCTGATGTTGAATTAATTTGTAAATCAGATTTATAAATTGAGTTTGTAGGTGCAACAAGAATACATGCTCAATCACTCACACACAAACGTACATACTACAAAACTAAACTTTGCGATATGAACTGTATGATGTTTTACAATCTGAAATTTCTTTACTCCCTTCCTGCTTTTGATGTTTCGTTATGTCAAACGGTTATTCCTAAATCAGTGCTGAGAATTTACAGCAATGGGGATAATTTTATTCTAATTTTAGTTTCTACTTAACAAGTGTTTCTCCATTTTGATCGATGACACAACATCTCATCATCACACTATGGATCCCGAGAATGGCGGAGTGTATCCCAATGTAGGCATAGGTGACTAAACCATCTGATAAGGCCCTGATCTCAATTGAAAGAGAACTATTCCGTGTTTGCATAACTTATTTGAGCAAGCAGAAGTCAAAAACAGTTTATTTAATTCTGATTAAGGCTTCTAACTGAACGATTTTAACTGAAAAGGACCACTTTGGAGTCAGCTGAAGTTATAAATTGGGATCCAAATTAAGGAAGGATATAACACATCAATGTTCAGCCGTTCTCGGAATTCCATTTACAGTGTAAACATGAGATCTTGGCTCACCCATCGAAATTGAGCAACACTTGCAAAGTAGTATCCTATTTGTCTTTGGAAACTTCATAGCTACCTATGTGCCCTTTAGTAATTGTGACTTATCCGCCAATGTTTATAACCTGAATAGTGATAATTCTGATACTGATAATACCTATCTATGTATTCATATTTATGGAAATTGAAATAGACAAAAAGAAATGTAATAATAACGAAACACTTTTATTTTACAACATAGAGTGAGAGAGAGAAATATTTTATTGAAAGTAATGCTGCCCTACTATATAGAGTTGCTTTATACACAGCATACTGATCAATCCACATGGACATAGCTCTTACATTATATTATTCCATTGTTTTATAAACATATTTTTATTTTATTTTTCTCTCTTTTCATATCACTAATATACCACATTAAACAATTACCATTATGTATGATAATCATACCATCATATGCGAGAAATACAAGATTAATTGCATAGACATATACAACGCACTTCCATGAATATAGATAAAAAGATAAGACAAAGTTAAAAATTAAAATTGAATAAATAAATGATAATAGACTTTCTAAATTCACTGTCAATTGTTATACAAGTAATAATGGATGATCCCCAAGGAGTCCAGAATAATATTCTTGGCCAATATTGCAAGCTCCCCAACATCAACACCGAGTTCCTCAAGGAAGCTCATTATTCTTTTTGGGATCATTCTGCAAGACTCTCTCAGGGTGAACTCTCTCTCCAAAGGTCCGACAGAACTTCTCTATTAGAAAAGGGATACATTTTTCTTTTTCCTTTCCGCTTTACCCGCCTAATCGAGGCCATTGATCTACAAGCGGACAGTTGGATCCAATATCAGAGCAGTCTTTCCTGTCCTGGGAAATGCAACAACGTCCGCATACCTGGTTGAGCCTTCACTTTCGATGCAATAGACCTCGTCGAAGCAGGTGAATTCCTTTTCTCTAAGGAGCCTCATTAATTTAAACTTGACCTTATGGTGCCGGCATGTTATGAGAAGGGAGTTGTTGGGTCATTTTCCCAGCATATGGGCTGGTGTTTCAGACTCGGCTGCACTTAAGACAGAGAGACCCAAGTTCCTTCCTCCTGGGACTTCATAAAACTTCAATGAAATAATTTTATTTATTTTGGTAGACGAAAAACAACATATATTACACTTTATATATACAACATAAATACATACAAAACACTTTTTTATTTCACAACATTTTATTTATTTTGAGAGGCTAAATAGCATAATGTTATTTAAAATAGCGAGGAACAGGTCCTCATCTATGTGAACCCGTTGCCACAAAAAAGAAGACCTGTCACCACGGAAAGATAACAAGAGGTTGCCTATTAACCAGATAAACTGAAGATAAAATAATTACGAGCAGGAGATGGTCAGGGGGTGCGGTCAAATAAATACTAAATTTTTTTAAAAATGGTATTTTTAATTGTTACACTAATATAACAATTTATTATTACGCCAATGTAATAAGGCGTAACAATTAACAATACTATTTTTTTTTAATTTAGTATTTATTTGACCGCAGCCCTTAGACCATCTCCTTCTCATATTATATCATGGTCAGCCATCTCTTCATCATTGTAAAATAAAAACGATTTCGCATTGGTGTGCCAGGGTGGGGGAAGGGCTTTTAACTTCTGGCTTTAATCACCTGACCCAAGAAAACCCCCTATTTAACCTATTATGGCGAAGGGAAGAAAAAAAAAAAAATAGAAATAGTTCTGTCCGGCTATCTTACAGGATATGCATTGTTCAAAAATTTCTGATATCTCCTATCACCCTTAGCTGGGCAATTAACATTTGTAACACCTCAACTGGCATACGCACACAAAAGCACTCTTACGGACTTCATCATTTTATAAATAGGAATAAGAGGTACTACTGTTCTATTGTTGCTCCGGTTTGACGAGTGGGTTAAGTTCTCATGATTTCCGCTCGCTCAAAAGGTTTTAAAAAAACTCCAACCGGTATTTTTCATTTGAGGTCGGGTCCTTTCTTGTCCATTCTCAAGATTCTATCTGTAGTGTCATTATTAGATCTTGTGTTCCAACTCATACTCGCTAAGTATATATTCTATGGTAAAATTTATAATAAAACTTTTGAAAGGTAATTAAATTACCAACAAAACAAAAAAAAATCATCGGAATCGAACCAGTATTAGCGATGATACAGTGTATTCTATTTTCTACACATGTTTTAATTTATTATTTTCCTGCCTATACTAGGTAAGGAAAGTATTGTGATCGGGTCAAATTTTGGAGATGCGGTTTTCGACGGATCTATATGTTTCTGAGCCCCCTGAGTCCGAAAAAACGCCGTTTAGCCTTTTTTTTGAAAGGTAATGAAATTCCCTATAAAACTATATAAAAATTGTTCATTTCAGACAACTATTAACGAAGTTACAGCTATTCAATTTCTAATGTAAGATTACGGGTACATATCCTAGTGTCAAAAAGTGATGAAAGAGAGAGAAAAGATAATTTAGTGAAAGTAAGAAAATCTGTTGCCTGCATCACACAAGCTTCCCTATTACCTCTACTTTTAGCAGGAATTATTGTTTGACAAAATTAGGCTATGTCGAAAAGTTTTTGATCAGCAATATTAGAGGGTATTGAAATTACAAATAAATCGTACTCAAATCTTTTCTTTGATCAATTTTCAGGAAAATAAATCTAATTCAATTTGTTTTGTTTCTTGATAGACATATATAAAAATATTAAAACTTTTCTAACATAGGTAGGAAAGTCGTGTGAGTGGACACACCACATTTATTATTTATAGAATACTTACAAATATATTTCTATTTCAGCTTAATTATTAATGATTCCTTGGAGACTGGAACTCAGATACCCTACATCAGGAAAGCCATCAACTTAGGCTATGGAGTAATCGTTATGAACACTAATGATAACTACAGGCTTATCGATGGCAAGAAGTTTCCTATCGAGGTATTTTATACATCATATGTTTCGGTTTGGTCTTTAAACTTTACAGAGTTTGGATAAGGAAGAAATAATTTGTAAATAGCCATATATTTTTTCTTTCTTTTTTTCAAATAAAGTAATACCTTTTATTTCAATTTTTTATTCGGTATCTTTATATTTGATTTCTTTAGGGTAGTAGTAATCCAAGTGAACATGCAAGCACAGTTTGGAAACACTACGTTCTTCCGACGGCTGCAGAAAAAATTTTACTTATAGCCCACAGTTTTGGAGGAGTGGTAACAATGAGTCTTGTAAGTAATAACCTTAACATCAAGTTAACTACATATTTATTTTTATGGTTATCTTAGTAAACAGTTAATTTTATACATATCTTTTAACATAGATTTTAAGTAGGGCACCCTCTTGGACAGCTCCATCCTGCCTTTAAAATGTACATTTAACCAAATAGAGAGTCTTCCCACAATTTTGAATATAATAAAAATTGTGTATTCAATACGAAAAGAAGTCACTGATGATTAACAATTGACTATGGATGAAAGGGTAATAAGATGCAGCTTCTCCTAGTCACCTAGAGATATCCTATCGACATAACCAGTGCTGGCAGGCTGGGCACACTATTGTGCATACTATATATATATACATAAACATGCATATACATATTTTATGAACCATTGCTGTTATTTTAGGCATCAAACTTCGAGGAAGATTTCTTAAGGAGAGTGAAAGCAATAGCTCTTACAGACTCAGTTCATGGTCGGATACCTCGTGCTGTTTCATCCCGGTTAGCAGAATATTTATCTGAGGTATGTTATATTATATTTTAGTATATCTCCTAATTCTCTTATCAGGTTAAATTTTAATTAATAATTGTCAAAATTAGGTGATTTTGATTATCTATAGATAAAGATAACATTGTGCATCCTTATTGAAATCTTATTTCAATCCCTCGGATCATGCATTATTATTTGAAGGAGACTGTAATGTTAAACACCAATGATGGGATTGTCCAACATCCTATCACCTGTCTCATCTTTCAATAGTAATTCAATCCTCTCACCCATGAATCCTATTTATTGGCCAACATCCCTCAAAAAATGTCCTGTTATCCTGGATATATTTATCACCTCCCAGATTTCCTCCTTCCAAGGCATTATCAAATCTCTGGATGACCTTCCTTCAGATCACAGCCGAGTTCTGCTTTTATTACATTCAAACTTTGCTCCTAAACTCTCACTTTCTAAATTGATTACAGGACGAGTAAACTGGAACAAATTTTGTGATGATCTGGAAAATATACTGGCCTTAAAAATTGTGATAAAACAAGATATTGATAAAGCCATAGAAAAATTGATCTCATCAATAACAACTAGTATAAATAACACATCCAGCAATAAAACTAATAATTCAAGACATATCCTGCCGTAATATATTCAAATCTTATTAAGTGAAAAATGCAGAGCAAAATCGAAGTGGCACAGGACTATGTATCAGATATAACACACTATACCAAATTGACTAACTAACTAAAAGTAAAAATTAGAAAATTTAAAACTCAAAAATTACTTAACATAACTGAAAATCTTATAATCAAAGACAAATCACTATTGACGACCACCAAAAAATTCAAAGTTTAAAGACTTTAATCATCCACTTCTTTCTGAATCCTAAACCTGACCCAAATCCGATGAAGAAAAAGCCCAAATATTCGGTTAACATCTCTTCCAAACTTTTAATCCACATTTCAATATCCTACACTGCATTTCCGTACTTAGGGATTGAATATTATGATGATTTGTAATTGGCTATTATTTTCATTTTAGGTCGGTCGTAATTGGGTCACCAGTTCTGAGCCCTTGGACAAAATGCTACCTGAGCAGCAGGGGGAAATCCAGTGTGTTTCAGCTGGTGAGTAGTAGTAATTTCTGGCTTAACATTCTCATATTTATGAAATAATATATTGTAATTGTAAAAAAAAAAAAAAACACAACTTTCACTTACTACCATTCTTTTGGCAGAAATAGGTAATTTCAGACAAAGGGAAGTGAAAGGAAAAATTACATCCATTACAAAATAGAGCTAGATTGTTAACATACACAGACCATTTGAAGACCTGGTTATGTGTACTCAGTAGACCCCAAACGTGCTTTTCCATTGAAAACTTGGATTCAAAATTTTTCACAATCCCAACACTTTCCCTTACTATATACACTGACAGGCAAAAAATTCCACCCACTTGATTAGCTTCTTGAGCTGATGAATTGCTTGAACAACGGTAAGGTGCCGGTTTCGTGAAATTCTGAAAGTCAAAAACCGGTCATCCCGTGGTTCTGTTACCCTAGGCAGTCCAGAACCGGGCCTTCTATTGTAAGAACCAGTTTCCTGAAAACGCCTGACGGCATCTCGTAAAGTCTCATATGGAACTCCGATGGCATTAGCTGCATATCTAATGAAACGTCCATCATCAATAAGTGCCACACCACTCGCAATATCCTCAGCACTAAGAGGCATTTTTAAACTTAATATTGAAAAAATTAAAAGCCCTGAGACTAAGAAATGTGCTGTAAGAAACGGCACTGAACCAATGATACTGAATAAACATTTTGATTCCATAGAAAGTAAACATTGGAATCTAGAATCATTTCATTGAATTAAGGGTTATTGTCCTCTATATTAACATTCCTAATTGAAAACAAACAAAAAGATTACTTATTTATTCATTAAAAACAATAGACCAATCCAAAGCAGAAATATTTTTAGATGAAAACATGAAAAAAACAAGTGGGTTAAATTTGTTGCCTGTCAGTGTATTTCATATATAGGTAAGTGAAAGTAAATAAAATTAAGAAAAACTATATTCAAAGTGTCCTATAATCAGAAAATTGGATTGTTATAATGAAATAAGTTTATTAGGAATACTCGAATCTTTAATAAGGAAAAAAAAAATTTACAAGTTCGAAAATTTTTGTGTATGGTCACTTTTTAACAAAGTTTTTTTTTTCAAGACATTTTCTTTTCAATTATTGAAATCAAATAGTATTATTTAACTTTTATATTTATTGTTCAAGAGAAGGATGATTGGGGTGATCAGTCAAAATAAAAATAGCAAAAATAAATTATAATATTATTATTTATTTTTATTTTGACTGATCACTTTAACCATCCTCCTCTTCAATTATTCTCTACAGTCAACCATCAACCCACAATTATATTTATTGTTTATTTTATATCTTTATTGATATTTACTGTAAATTTTTAAACTATATACATTGATTGTAAACTTGTTTCAGGCACGACAAAGCACGAACTTACTTCAGCTTCTTCCATAGAGTCCGTTTTCAACTTTGCCGAATCTCTGTTGGCAAGCGGCCCATTGGCTACGAACAACAGCATCTGACCTTCCCGATACTCCTGTTGTGTTTCTTACATAATGTCTAAAGACAGTCTTTTGTTCCATGTTTAAAGAAATATCTCAACTTTTTTACTTACAATAAATAATACATTTTTTTTTAACTTATTAAAATATTTAATAATTTTAATCTGTATGAAATTTAAGTTTTCGAATATCGGTTAGGAACTTCCTTTTGTAAGAAACTGGCAGGAGTATCAATAAGAGTAAGTTTACTCAATTCGAATGTGATAAATTATCATGTTACCCTTAAAACAGGCTGTACAATTTTATTAATCTATACTTGGTATACTATACTCCTTTCGATTATAAAGGCATTTTAGATCTCTCATTTGTTTTTTTTGTTTTTTTGTGTTTTAATTAAGAAGGCGATGATATTGATAAAACATCTCTTGTGTCTTGGAAAGTCTAGAAATTTAAGATAACATTTATACTTCCAAGCACTGATTGGAGCTGTTATATATTTCAGAGCTTCTGTTTTTTTTTTTAATGCAGTGTTATTTTTAATGTCTTTTTTATATGTATGGTGTGGGTTTCCTTGTAGTAAAAGTTGTAGAAGGACTATTGTTTATAAAGTTTATCTTTTTATTTTTGATAGTTCGTAGTTTTAAATAATTTCATGACTTATCTTTTATGTATCGTAAGAATTAAGTTCTTGATCTCTTTATTTTTTTAATGCTAAATGCCTCATTCAACTATGAATCCCTTCACGTGGAGACAAGACCCGTAATGAAATTCCGTTCCTATAACACAGGACTGATTTTGCCTAAATTAGTTACTATAAAAAAACCTAGTAATTTGTTATTAATAATCAATAAATGATCATTTTTTTTATTTAAATAATAATGATCTCTTTTCTTATTATTGGCCTAAGATTTAAATTTCGTTATTTGTCATAATTTTAAAAACCAATGAGAAAGAAATAATAGTTTTCTTCAGTTATCTATCGTTGATTTTTTATTTTTCTAATTATATTTGGCTTTCACACTAATTTTTAAATAAAATAATTACTTGTTTTGTGATATAATGCTTAGCTGTGATATGGATGGTTGTCTTTATGAAATTTATAAAGAATGATATGGTATGATGTTAATTTTCAATTTAAAGATTGTGTTTTATTTTGTATTGATTTTCAGTATTTTAATGTTTGAGGTTTTCCTTACAGCATTGTTAATTAAGTATCTCATTATGATTTATCTAAATTAATTATTTATTGTTCTGTTGTATTCTAGAAATTAAATTATAAAATCTAGAAGGAAAATGAACCAAGACTTTTCTGATAAGATCAGTATTTCTTATTTAAATTATCTTTCTTCCTCAGTCTCTTTCTCTCTCTCTCTCTCTCTTTAGTTACTTACATACAAAATATATATATATATATATATATATATATATATATATATATATATATATATATATATATAGTTGATACAAGTAAAATTTGTATACTCTGTATTTGTATATATATATAATATCGGCATTATTATTAAAAAAACTGATGACATAGTATTTTAAACAGTTATCGATGAGGATTTGCTGTCCTGTTATTAACCTTCAGGGTTTTTTCGCACATTAAAATGTTTTCTCTTTGACCTGTTGATGTATAATATTATTATTATTTCATTAAATAGTGCATAAGTAATAATCTTATGAGTGATACTGTATTTTCAGAATGAGAGAGTCTCAAATCAAAAATTACCATTTTCCTCTTTCTCATTGTATTAAATTATAAGTTAATAAAAAATATATGTCTTCTGTAAATGAAGTAATAGTATTTTAATTTGTCTTCTTATCATACTGTGATTAGACTGTTTAATTAATCAGAATTCAAATAAGAATATCAGGCTTTAATTTAATCACAGGGAGTGGGGTTGAGTAAGGTACTATTCTTCTGTTCTCCAGGGCACGGGTCTGAGACTGGCTGTGGGGTATAATTATTTATTCTGTTACATCAGTCTTGGATTAACCCTAGAGTCGGTAGACCCTCCTGTGGCACACTCAGCCTATGTAAGGTGGGAAATTAGTGAAAAAACCTGGCAGTTGAGCGTAATTGTGACCAAATCACCTCTTTCCTTACTTGTTGGCTTAAAAACACTGTAACTGAAACCAACAACCTTTTTTATCTATATTTATATTATTTATTTTTTTAAAGATTGATTTAAATAACTTTCCAATTTTATATTAGCAACAATAAAAAATTATTTAATTTGTATTGAACAAATCGAAAGAGGTTAGTGTATTACAAAGTCTAGCCTGTTCTGATGATTCATTTAATGTTATTGTTGGACACTACAACTTTGACGAGTCCTGACCTCTTCAATCAGCTTCCTGCAAATTAATCTGTCTCTTCTTTCTTCCACCATCAAGTCCATCGAAGGCCTTCCTCTCCATCTTCTTCCAAAAAGCTGTTCTGTTAACAGCTTCTTCGGCATCTCTTCCTCTCCCATAAGTGCCACATGGCCATTCTAACTTAGCCTTCCTGTTTGTAGGACTTGAGCAACATCGGGTTCTTTATATGTATCTAAAAGCTCATTGCTCATTCTCTTCCAATTATTGCCTACAAAATGAGTTTTCCATTCTCTCTGAATGGGTGATATAGTTTTATTTATTTTATTGTTTTTGCAACAATACTGTGAGCAAGTTAAATGCGTTATTGGTTGTGTAAATTTTATCTTGTAATGTAATTAAATTCTCTTTTGTTAGTTTTTGAAGAATGGAATTGTGTAAGTGATTGCTAACATTACAAATATATCTATTATATGTAAATATTGTATACTGTTGTATATGATAGATGTAGGGTTTTATACTGTGGTATATGATAAACGTAAGGTTAGTCAACTTGTATAAGGCTAATTCCTTAGGGCACCTCACTGCTCTTCTGACAAGTAGTAAATAGTTTAATTTTACTGTTAGTGAATGAATGATGATTACATTTATTTTTTTTTTAGTTAATTTATTTCACTATAGCTTGTGCCCACCCCTTTCTATAATCTTAACAGTACTGTGTACTGTCCCGGCTGCATTTTTGTTTGTATTATTTTATTTTATTTTTTTTAAATTTAAATATCTTCTTTTGGTTAAATGATTGAGACTTGTGAAACAGAGACGTTCTTCCTAAATTTTATTTTAATTTTTCTCATTTTTGAAGATTATGCTCTTGGCCTTTTTTATTTATTTATTATTTTTTTAAAATGGTAAATATAAATATGTGAATGGCAGTTTTGGCTTCATAAAATATTTCTATTCTTTGTATATATTTATATAAATATATATATTAGAATGTTGTAGTATTAAGTCGTAATTGAGTATGAGTAGTGAAAACGCACAAAGAGAAACAATACACGCACAAATGCACAACACCATTATCATATATAAATTTTTTTTATTGATAATCTTAAATATTCTTTTATTTTAGTTTTTTTTTTATTGAAAGATGGTAGTGTTTCATTTTATTATAATTAATTTTAAAAAATGTTTCTTGATAATTTCTTTATCCACTGTTGAAAATAGCTATTTAAAATTTATATTAATTTATTTTCTTAAATCAAATCAAAAACTTAAATCAATTTATTAATCTTTTAAACTAATAACAATCTTGCACAATTTAAATATAAGTCCTTTATTGAATTTAAATATAAATAGAATCAATACATTAAATTATTAACATTATGGATATTATCTATCTCATGTAAGATTTCTATTATTATTTATTATTGTTTTAAAAAAAAAAAATTTTTTATAAACTATCAAAAGTTTTCTTTGAATTTAATGGTTCTTCTGAAATAATTTGAAATTACAGTTTTACTTTAGTTCATTAATATTTGTGAATCAATTATGTACATTGTTTATCAGATGTATTTTAAAATGTATTCTGTAAATATCAGTGTTAGTTTTATATAATATTTTAATATCCACAGCGTCCTCAGGTCGTAGATTTAGGGTCTTCTTTTGAATACCGTTGTTGTAAATATAATGGTAGCTTGGTGGATTAGTTTAAATCGTTTTCTTGAAATGACACTCATTTTTTTCTAACCGTGAACAATTGATCAGCTTTTTAATTATAGATTCGACACTATCTCTTACACATTTTTAATTATATAATTAAATTTTAAGATTATATACTGGAGTCCTGGTTATCCAGTATGGTTTTTATGAATGTTTTATTTATTTATTTTTTTAATATCCACACATTATGTTGCGGTTTTAAGCAGATGTGATATAAATATAATAAATAAAATAAAATAGATGTAACTCTGGCTTGGTTAGAATTTTATCTCGTGGCGAACCCATGGGACCAATTTTGACCTTTTCAGTCTGTTTTGAATAGGTTTGATTGTACCTCTAGAACAACTCCCCGTATGCCAGCGATGGTGAGGTAGGTGGTAAACAACAAATCAGAAAAGAAGCTTAAATATAAAATAAACAAATACGAAAAATATTAACAGACTTTTTCAAACCAATGTGGTCCAATTATACAGTAATTGATTCAATTAATTTTTTGAAATATTCTTTATATCCCTTTGGTTTTATTATAGCTTTAGTTTGTTAATTCCATACCCTTGTTTTAGTTTCACATGAAACCAAATTTCAGATTATCAGGACTCCTCTGTATTGAATTTTAAAAACAGTTAGATCCATTTTTTTCCGATTTGGAGGGGATTGGTATGATGAGGACTAATGTATTAACACTTACATTAAGAAAGGTCCTCTTTTCAGAATTTCCATCTTCTTCAGATTTCTCGAACATGCTCTCTGCAAACACCAGGTATTAAACAATAATGTTTCAACTAAGGAGTTAAAACATTATTTTTTAATACAGTTTTAAAATTTCATATTTTCTTTTAATTTGTATATACTGTATAATAGTTATACATAATTAAGTAAATTTTCATAGGATAGATTGATTTAATTTTTTTTTTCTTGTATATTACTGACTCGCATGTGTCAGGATTGTTTTGTTTTTTTCAATTATCGCATGGTAACAAAAGAGTTACATGCTCATGCCGTGTCCTACTAATATAACTGTAAATATAGAAATAGGTTTGTATAAAGCTAAATTTAAGATTTGCATATTAATTGTAAAAATAAATAATTCCATGGATCGATGTCCCTTTTTAGGGAAAGGGCTTTCCCTTAATGTCGTATTTCCATGTTAACCGTCATGTCGTGAATTCGCTTCTCAAGAACTTCTTGTTTTTTTTTAGAAAACTGCTAAAAATGTCAAAATTCCTTCTTTACATATTCTCTAATCCTTAGAATTACAATTTTTTTTTTTTAATCCCTTCCATTAATGTAGCAAATCAAATCCTGTTTCGATTTATTTACATTTCTTTATGCATCTGCATAATATGCTCTGTAAATAGTACTCTTGATTGGCGAGTAAGATGTAAATATTGTTATTAGACAATAATTTTTATGGGTGGAAAATCTATTATTATACTCAAATGTTATACTATAATGTACATACAATTTAGTGACTGTATAAAGATTTTTTTTTTCTTTATTAAATTTATTTATTTAATTTTTTATCGACATTCGAAAGAATGCCTACTCGAAATGACACTATGAACCACAGCAGAGGAGTTCTTGTAACCCTGGTCGGTCCGAGAGTTCTCTCTCGCCACCTAAATGAGAGGTTACAGGCTCCGCAACTTTAATATAAGTACTAATTTTAAGGTGTATATTGCTTAATGTGTATATCGTGTGTGAATATGAAAATTAAATTTAACTTGCTCACATCGAGTGTTTTACACACATTTTTAATTATATAAGTCAATAAATTAATGATAAAAAATGCAATAAGAATACAAATTTGAAGTAATAGTTACTAGTATAACTCTGTGAGAATGCTCACATTAATTAACTGTCTTCCCTAGTGCATTAAACATAACGACATCAGTCAAACTTTTTCTTCCTGTATCATCATCCCGAGCTCGACAATCCATTACTGAATCTTGGTTGCCACAAGAGTTTTCCTATCCTGAGCAATCTTCCATCAGTTCCTGATTCCAAGGTTCTGGCATCGGCA